CCAAAAACACCAGCTGAGAGCAAGGCTTTTAACTTGTTTCTTCCAACTTGAGTCAACTGCATGGAGATCATGCCCCTTTGGTAACCAGATGAGAAACTTCTCCATTCCTTTTGGGTGTATACAAAGCCACCACCGTGTAAAGGTTGTTACCAACCACTTTTCCCACCTCACAACTCCTCCAGTCACTCACTTCTGTTCCCAGAATGCATCTTCCAGACAGAACCAAAAGTGATTTACATCTCAGCAGGAAGCCTGCATCCTTCCAGGCACTACTGGCTCTGTTCCCTTTGTTTAAACAAAAGATTTTCCCCAAAAGCTGCAAGGAGAAAGGGGCTCTTTAGCTGTTTTCTTCTGTGGTTTGCTCACAGCAGTCTCTTGCTGGAAGCATGCAGGGCTCGCGCTGATGCTGCTCTAGTTGGAAATACAGGCAGAAGACATTTCCTGATGATTTAGCACATACTGTCTGCATAGATGTGAGGTGATAAGTAGTTTAGTATTGCTTTGCTCTGCTGAATGCGCTGTCCCAAAAATGCTCTAATGATAAAGCTATGCCCCAACAATGGCTGGAAAGTTTCCTGGTATTTCTTTCTTCCAGCATCAGGATATATGTTTCTGTGCTAAAATTTAAGCAATTTTGTTTAACTTAAAATTTCCTCCTGGCCTGTCTTTGCGTCCAATAAGGTCATAAGCTCTCAGAGGAAGGGATATATATATTTACACCCTTCAAATACCCTTGTACTGGTCTTGAAAGGTGCCTCAGATGCTACAGGAAAATAAATAACAAACTTGTTTAGATCACTGACCTGAATCTGGCCTGCTCTGTGGCAAATCTCCCTACTCCTTACAGCCAGGGGAGGCAAAAGAATTAATGTCACTCAAGGCTAAAACGCTTTACAAAATAAACCGTAATCCAGGGCTGACCGCATCATATGCTTCCACATCCTGCCAGTCCCTGCATCCTACAAAAGCTTCCTAAGAACAAACAAACACCAAGAGACACAGGGCTAACTGTGAGAGTCCTAAATACTCCAGTTCCCTGAGCTTACGCCAGATGCTGTCTCCTTTGATAAGGGATATCTATTGGAAACAGAGAAGGGATGTACCGGGGAATGCCACACGCTAAAATGCAAGAGCTGTAAGCGCAGCCCAATTTAGCTTAACAGGATAGAAGAAATTAAAACCATTCTCTCTCCTCAAATCCCTCCTGAACGCAGATCAGACAGGAGAGTACAGCAGCCATTGGTTACAGCATTACCTGGGTCAGAGGGCAGGGCACGGGCAAGGAAACAATAAAAATATCTTCCCTGTGAGACAGAGCTGAACACATCAATGCTGAATTTACACTAATCTTAATTTTCTTGTGTAGTTACTACAGCAGAATATTTCTTGGCAATTCACAAGAATCTCTTCCAGTCTCTCTGCACCTGATGCCTCACACACAGACCTTTTCAGGTAGCACAAAGACTGCTTACTGCTAGAGAGTGGGTAACCTGAAGGCTGAGAAGGATGACATTTTCCCTGCAATACCCAGAAACACACAAATAGTGGTAAGGCTTCTGCAAGCAAGATGTGGGAACTGCAAGCAGACACACTGCTGTTTGCTTTTTCCCAATTTGCTTCCTGCTGGATCTCAGAGAGATCAAATCACTATGCCTAGTAACAATTCTACAGTCTTTTTGTTTCAGGGGAAGAATATATTAGTTTTACCATGCCAAATTCTGGTTTGGAAAATTACCATTTACCTACAAACTTCCCCATAATGACAGCAAGCATGCGACTCCCTCCCTTTGCTCAGTTAGCTTGGGCAGCACTTCTTTGTGCTGCTTGACAAGAGGCACCTTTCAGCACTGAAAAGGTAGCATTTCAGAAATTGGTGATTGAGCCCCCACTGTCTGTGGGGAAAAAAAATGATCATAGATCAGAAATGCCCTCATAAATCACAATATATGCTTTACAAAATATGTATTTGCCAGATCCAAATGAATTATGAGAGGGATTCAAACTGAATGCAATTCATCAGAATTTTATCTGCAGGATGCATTTGGTCCTTGCTAGAAAGGAAAAGAGGAAATGGCCTCAAGTTGCACCAGGGTAGGTTTAGACTGGAAGCTAGGATAAAATTTCATCACCAATAGGTGAAGTACTGGGACAGGTGGCCCAGGGAAATGGTTGAGTCACCACCCTGGCAGGTATTTAAAAGGTGTGCACATGTGGCACTTAGGGACACAGTTTAGTGGTGGACTTGGCAGTGCTGAGACAATGGTTAGACTCAATGATCTTAAACATCTTTTCCAACCTAAATGATTCTACAATTCTGAAGACTTGAGCAGCACCTGCCAGTCGTCTTTCCTACAAATATTTGTCCTTCCATCTGCAAGTTAAGGTGCAAAACTTCAGAAGCAGTCTTCCATTTCTCTATATACAGACTACCTGAACATGTAATTAGAAGAGTACAACCCTCTGGTATAGAGAAAAGCCTTTGGGCAGTGGTTTTCTCCAATTCTTCTGATTAGAAAACTTGCATTTGATGGTATATCTCACTCTACCCAGTTCACTATCCCAAACTTAGTTCATCAGCTAGACTCACAGCACCCCTCCTCCCAGGCACAAGTTGTTTGGGGTCCTCTGTCTTCATTTGGAATCCACTGTCTGAGAGGACTGCAAGGCATGCTGGAGTGAAAAGGTGCTCCCTTTGAAGTTTCCAGGTGGATTGAGAGCTGTATTTTTTCCACCAAGTTTTCTTCTTGAAAATCTTCTTCAGACTTCTTTAGGGCTTTTTTTAGAGGAAGATTTAATTCTCTCAAAATACCAGCCAAAAATCTTGTAGTTAAGTGCTATTTAGAAAACTGTGGAAAGGTAGATATAAAGAGAGGTCTTGGCATTCCTATTAAGAAAGCATATGACAAGGAAACATGCTTTCTGGTCACCTGGCATCCTTTTTTTTTTTTCCCTAGTGGCTCAAACACCAGTATTTCTGTGAAAAGGCAGCAGAGTAGAAAAGCATTCCGGATATCAACAGGCAAACAAGCATGCTGATTAGTTTAGCCTGATGATTTTGTGCCAGAATTGGAAGTCCTTTTTAACCTTCTCCTTTTATGAGTGAAAAACTGTCCTTGCAACCTTCCTTGATTAGAAGTCCAGTGTGGAGCAAGGCATTCCTCCCCAGGCTTTGGGCAGTAGTGCTGTGCGCCTTGCAGAGCTCTGATCTCTCCAGATTATCAGCTCCCCTAGACATCTGGCAAATTACAGGCCTGAACAGTGATGTTCTTTGTGTATTTCTACATCCAAAAACTGGAATGGAACTATCCCTTCAGTTTGACGTGATGTCAATATACAGAAACTCCACTGTGGTTGGTAACATCAGAAGAATTAAGGTAGGGGAATGAGCAGTTATAACCCTGGAAGGGTTAAGTGTTAGGAGATTTGCTCATTGGCATGACACTTCATTAGTTCTTTTGATCTAATGAATGCTACTGACTTTTGTACAGGGCCCAAACACTTGATTGTATCTTATTTTATTCTATCTGTAATACTATTTATCCAATGTCTTTTTTAAGTGAAAGGGAGACTATAATGTTAGAATTCAACACTTTCAGGACTGACCACCAATTTTTGATATTCTGAATCTAAGAGTCAACCACAGAAGCCTGCAGCAAAGTTGCTTCTCAGGAGTTCTGAGTGATAAGACTGCACATGCTCAGCAATCATCAAAATAAGACCCAAAGGATGCCTTTCCTCTTCACCATTCCCTTCAAAGGGAATGCTACTGCCAGTTGAGCTTAGCATGTAAAAGTGGATATTACCAGAAATGCCACAAAACTGCCTGGGGGCTGCAACTTCCTCCAAGTGAAAGGTACTCAGATGGGCAGCATTTTCTACGGATCAAACAGACAGACAAACAGACAGAATCATCTGCGCAAGGCCAGTCTGTACATAACAAATTAGTGACCTCCAAACTTACACTTTAATTCAGGACCACACCTCTCTTTTTTACTAATGACAACAAAGCCACCCTGTATTACAGGGTGTAATGCAATTGTATGTGCAATACAGCATATCCTCTCTCATTCTCCAGGGTCCTAAATGATTCAACCACTTCAGTTTGTAAGTGCAGAGACACTTTCTATGACTATATTTAGTTTTAGAGAGGGTCTGGAAAAGTGATGTCACCACTGGAATGAGGAAGTATTTATCCCCCTACTGGAAACACATGATGATGATGTAAAGGTACTGTTTGGAGAGCTCTATTTATATGGTTGTTTCCTGAATCTTAACGTGACTCAGAGAATCTCAGGATGTAAAATGGTGCCACCGCCATAGTCTGTGGGAGTCGCTGCCAAAGTTTTGCAGAAGTTTCACTAACAGCAGGTCACTATGGCTCTGTAAAGCAGGGCTGAGCAAAGGGTGATGAAATTTAATGACTTGATCAGTTTGTTACCAATGGATTTAAAATTGCATTATTAGTGGTAGCCCAGTGATAGAATTACATGGGAAGTAGCCAACTGCAGTATAATAAATATGCAAGGGCAGTTAGTGCAGAGTGAAATTTGATTTCGGTAATTGCTGCTTGTTGTAATTATTCTGCTTTTACGGATCAGTAACTGCTTTCCCAAAGCCAATTACTACTGCTTCTTGACAGGTTGGGAATTTCTGTGATAATCAGTTGTTTAGAAATACTTTCTGTAAGGTTTACAAAGGCAGAGGAGATCCAGCTGCTGAACAAGCTCCCAGGAGCAAATCTTGTGAACTCAGCCTGAATGTTTCCCAAAAGGGAAACTTTTTGCTCACACAAGAACAGGTTTCCAGTAAAGGGTATGGCATTCAATCATTTCCCTTTCTTTTTACCTTTAAAAAACAAACTAAAACACAACTTTCTGTAGTCTAAGAGAAAATAGCCAGAAGCCCTGTGACTACAATCTATCTGATATGTAGCAGACTGAGGAAGAACAGGGCAAAGGTTATCAGAAAGAGGAAGGAAAATAAGAATCAAAATGTCATACCTACAAGTGCCGGTGATCACACCGAAATTACACCAAACCCTTTAGAAACAGCAGTAAGCATTAGCCTTCCTCATTTGGTAGCACCTAACAGATCTTGACTTCTCTGCTTGCAAAGACAAGGCAAAATCCAGCCTAAACTGCAGGATCAGCTAAGAGGAAAGGCTCCTTGTGCAGAATATCCTTGTGCATGATCCTCTGTTTCTGCCTCAGCCTTGTTCCTGGTACTTAACCATACCCGTAACAGCTGGACTGTACTATATATTGCATTACTCTGTGTACTAGAACAGGAAACAAGCAGAGCACAAACTGTTATCACATCAAAATGGCAGTAGCTTTACACTTGCTTTGCATGATACAGACAAACAGAATAGTGAATTCAAGCCATGTTATAGTTTATGTTTGACTAAACAGATATTCACTTCTTGGAAAGTTTAATAATTAATGATAGCACAGGGTAATGAAACAGTTACATTGCACTACATTGCTTGGTTCTTAAGGGCAGAAATTCCCATTGATTACAGTTGAAATCTTTCACAGAATTAGAAAAAAAAAAATTGCACTCTTCCCTAATGGAGCGGTAGTGCTGGCACTGAGCAATTAATCATAGAATAAGGTTTTGTCTGGTTACTCACCCACAATGTTAATTCAATTGTTGGTACCAACATTAGAGTGCTAGTATAACCATTGATTGCTTATATTCTGTATCACACAAACAATATAAAGTATTCATCATATGACCTTATAATACTACAACAGTACTAATACAATTGCTCAGGTTGTCTCTCAGGACACGTAAAAGCCATAATTTTATGACTCTGTCCAAATCTGATTTCTCCTGCTTTACTTGTGCTCTCAACATCCTCCGCACGTTCTGTGGTCCTGTTACATACAATACTCTCATCAGCTTTTTTTGCCTCCTCTGCATTTTATATCTGGCTAATTTTATCTGATGTTTCAACTGTATCTGAACTGTTGACGCTCAAAAATGTACAACTATTTCCAGGCTTCTCACTTTCAGCCCTCAAGTAAATGTTTGGCCTGTCTTTTGGACAGCATATCCACAACATCTAGCCTTCAGCTCAAGCACAACATAGTAAAAGGGATTGTTTCACTTTGAATCAAATTTCACCTCCTCTTGCTTTTCATCTTGAGGACAACATAGCTCATCAGTGTACCATTAGCTGTCATCTTGGATATGCGCTGCATTTAGGTATACAAATCTGGAGTAGACTGGAGGTCTTGCTGAGATAGAGCTTACCGAATAGCATCTCCTGATTTCCTCAACTCCACAGGAGGACACTTTTCTTCTGGATCAGAAACATGCCTCTGCAGTTTCACTTGAAAAGGGTAAAGCAAAATAGAAAAATGGGTTGTTCCCAAGCAGAGCTACCTGCAAGCAGTGTAGTTAGTAACAGAAAACTCACTTTAAATTCCCCATCTCATTTTAGCCTATGTTAACGCAGGGGGATGGACAGCATATCCTGAATATATTTTTTACATGGTGTTTGTACAGTTCTTCCTTTCTCAAGCGTCCGGTACCAAACATCTCGGTGACTCCAACATTATTTCCTTCAGTCACGATAAAGAGAATCTTGTTCTCTTCCACCCAAAGGGCTTTGGCAAAGATCACAGTTCAAGCCTGTCACTATCAGCAGCTCTTTCTGAGACACATTCTTGCATCAAACTTATCTTTGGTTTCAAGCCTTCCATCTCTTACTCTCATCCTTATCATTCCTCATTTGCTACTGAGGCATCGATTCCTGCTTCTGATCACCCCGTGAAGCCTTCCACTATCACCCAACTATCATATTTTCCAACAAGTGCTTCCATGCTTCATCCTGCCTTTTCTGCTGCTACTGCTTGTCTCCTCCTTTTATTCATGTCAACTTTTCAGTGCCACCTACATCAGAACTGACATCTGGCTTGGGAAAAACATTATGCCCTTGTCTTCTCTGGGCTCCCCTATGCGCCATCTATATCCATCTGTTATATATTGATTTCTGTTAAGATGGAAAGCTCATCAGACAGAATCAGCTTTCTGCTCTGTGCTGATACAGTGCCTAGCACAGTACAGTCCTGCTTGTGTGCCAGATATGGCCTATGGTATTATAACATGTAACACAACAACAACGTGTTGTATGTTTGTTCCATTAATTAATGGTAATACAGTGCAGAAGTAATGTTTATCTCAACACTGAAGAGAAACTTTCAGGCAAGAGGCTTCTGTAGGGGAAAAGGGGAAGTATATACATTTTATTTTACACAAATAAATATACTGTACAAGCTAAAAGCAACTATATATATAATATTATACACTTCTATCAGTCCCTTTAAGCTTTTCCCTTAATTCAGTCCAGGAAAAGCCCTTCAGGCTGATAGGTAACCAATCTTTCTCTCGTGGGAGTGTTCAGGGGAAAGGGTTCACTCCTCCACCAACCTCCAGCTGTTTACTGCAGTCTTTTCTTCCTTAGGAAGTCCAAGAAGATAGCTCTGAGTCTGTCCTCCTTGGTTCCATGTCAGTCTCTGCTGTGTGATTCTCTCATACCTCAGTTCCGTGCTGTTCAGCTTCTCACACATACGCGTCTTGGAATCTTCATGTCTCCTCCGAGTTTTCGGCTGTCCTCCGTTTAAATCATGGCAAGGACATCCTCCAGGCCTTTCTCTGGCCCATCTCCAATTTCACCTGGGGTTATCTCCCTGGCACCGAGCTGCATTTAGCCCGTCCACTTTGGCTCCAAGGCCGAGCCTCCCCTCCACTTTACAGTGAGAGGGAAAAGAAGCAGCTCCCTCTGCAATCTAGCTACAAAGGGGGCGGGGAGAGAGGGCTTGGCTCCTCGCTCCCTCTTACCTTCAGGTGCTGTGAGTCCCTTCCCTCACAACACACACTCACTCCAGTGCTGCCTCCAACCCTGGCTTAGCCAGGGCTGTGGGCCGCAGGACCCCCCTTCCCTCCGGAAGGGGAAAAAAAGGGGGCCCTGCCACCCCTGGGCCTTCTCACACCCACGCACTCACACAGCAGCAGGTACAGCAGCAGCCGGACAGACCGATTGCCAACAACTTTTACCAGTTGTGTATATATGATTATTCACAGGAGCGAACAAAACGAGCAGTGACTGGCCCTCCAGGGGAGACTGCCCCGGCACCCAATCACTTCTAGGCCCCCCAACTCCTAGGGGGGGACAATTTTCAAACCATGACACCCGTGTACCAAAACAGCCAACAGGTATAAGTGAGCAAGCAAAATATACCACTACTTCTGCTATTTGAATGTAAATCTGAAATTTTAAAGTAAGATAAATATTTTAGAGTAGAAGTATTCTAATCTAGTTTAGTGGCCACCCACAGAATCAGGAAACAATTAGTCTAAACTCTTAAATAATTCTTAAAACATTTCCCAAGTATTCACAGATTCCTCTGTTGCGGAAAGAGTTTTATCTGTATCATGCTTTATTTTAGCATAGCTTATTCCACCTGTCTTAAAGCAAGAAACTACACTGGTGTAAACCACCTTTATAACTATACAGCTGCAGCAGCAGTGCTTCTGATAGTATAATTATTTCAGGTTTCATAACCACTCAACAAGTAGAAGCCAAGCCTGAGTTTAGCCTATTGAGTCAATGTCATATACAATACTACCATATGAAATCACCACTCTGCATGTGAATAATCAAGAAAAAGTCTACATGGGGATTCCCACCTGTATTCTACCTTAAGTTTTGTCCCCATTTTAAAGGTGAGCGCTTATAACACATTCTGGAGTCACAGAATGGTTTGAGTTGGAAGGGACCTTAAAGACCATCTAGTTCCACCCCCCTGCCATTAGCAGGGGCACCTCTCACTAGACCAGGTTGCTCAAAGCCCCATCCAACCTCACCTTGAACACTCCCAGGGATGGGACATCCACCACTTCTCTGAGCAACCTGTTCCAGTGCCTCACCACTCTCACAGTAAAGAATTTCTTCCCAATATCTAACCTAAACCCACCCTCTTTCAGTTTAAAGCCATTCCCCCCATCCTATCACTTGTCAAAAGTCCCTTTCTAAACCATGGGAGTCAATGGAGACAGCACCTTACCAGTGCTCTCCAAGGTTATGTCTACACTGCAAGCCGCAATATGACAGCCACACATGTTGACGTGCTTCAGTGAGTTTTACTCTAGCAGCAATAGCAATGAAATCACAGCAGCATGGACTCTCACAGACTAAAGGATACCTGGTGACTTTGCACAGGGTGTGCTGATGTCTGTACTCCTGCAGCTTCACTGTTGCTGACTGTCAGCCTGGCTAGGTTAGGCCATGCAGGGCACCAACTAAACATGTTGGTATTTGGGGACAGTTTTGAGTGCCAGGGCAGAAAAAAATGTGACGCTCACTCTGGTTTTGTTCTTGAGCTCCCACCTTCTTGACTTGAGAGCCTGGGCCTTCTGCTGCTATGGTCCAGAATGCTTGAGATGCGAGAGCCATTTCTCCTGCCTGAAGATAGTCTTTGTCTTCTGTGTGTGTTGAAAGGATAGAACACATTCAAATGTGGTCAAATCTACAGTACAAGAAGGTCCTAAAACAAGTCAATGGCAAGAGTCAAAAGCATATCCAGTCATCAATGAGAACGTTTTGCTTGTTCAGACATATAAACCAAGCACAGATTAACCAGCTCTGTCTGACTGTGCAAGATATTTTTAATCCAGCCTTTTAGGTGAATTGGCAGCATTGGCAAAAGCCTGAATGGCAAAAAGTGTCAGAAGGGAGTTTTGCTGCAGTGTCTGCTTGAACTACATCAGCTCTCAGTTACACTTTTCCGGCATGCACCAGTGAAGTGGAAAGAGCTTTAGCATGGTTCACTGCCCAGGATGCAAAATTAAACTAAAGAACAGAAAGTCTGATGAAGTTTAGAATGTCTGTCTCACTCATTAAGGCTTCTGTAACACTCAAAAAAACCTCAAAACACAAAAACAACAACAGTAAAAAACCCAACCCACAACACAAAGGTTTGTGGGCTTGAAAGCTTGGGCTTTTTCCCCAGCTTCATCAGATATTAGATATTGTGCTTTTCTATACACCTTAGATCACCTTTAAGCACCATGACTGCACACTGC